CGAAGACGAAGAGGGCAACACGGCACGAGGGCTTATATAATGATAGGAGAAACGGGGGGGAAGAAGGCACGGAGGAATCCTAATTTGCTCAGGGGAAGGAAAAGAGAGGCGTGTGGAATCGTCGAGATGTTGGAGATTCACGAGCGCTATCGATCGATGCTCATCATTCGGTCCGGCATCGGAATCGATTTCGTTACCGAGTCTTCAACCGTCGACATCATTAGAAATTATAGAACCGACTTTTGGGTTATGCAATTGGGACTCGTGCCATAATCCAATAGGGACAACGATTTCGGTGATGGAGTCGTGCCGAGGCACGTGGATCGCGATTCCGAGGAATCATTTGAATTCTCACACGCTGTGTACATCTAATTCTTTCACATCCCCCTTAAAATCTCAAATTAAAAAGATATGATATTCCAACATGTTAATTTCCTATAGTAAACGGACAAAATATATGATTTTTTTTATAATGTTAAAAAATATATATGTAAAATATATTAATTAGCTTATCTAATACATAACTTGAAATTTTATTATGTGCAGCGTTCCTCCGATGCGCACTTCATCCCGACATGGCTCGAGATTTGTACGTCCTGCCCTCGGAGGTGCTGCTCAACAAGTCCGTCCAATCCTTAATCTGGGTAAGTACTTCTCCTCTTTTCTTGTTTGGGTTTGTTCATCTGACGCCGCCCTTTCTAACCCGTCTTTCCTTTTGCAGGGTCTCCATTATGCGACGGCCCTGATGGACAGGGTGCGTGACGTCGGCCGGGTTATCGGAGGCCTCGTCAACCGCAACGCCGAGCTCCACCGCCAGGTCGAGGAGGTCCGAGCCGGGGCCGGCCCGGAGGCTGTGGCGGCCGTTGAGAAGCGCGTGGCGGAGTCTGAGGCGGAGGCGGCTCGCCTCAGGTCGGAGCTCGAGGCCGCCAAGAAAGCAAACGAGGAGCTCCAGAAAACAATAAGGGTGGAGCGGACCGAGCTCCTTCTGTTGAAGACGGAGGTGAAAGCCCTCAGCAAGAAGCTGGAGGAGGCGAAGGCCGAGACGAGAGCGGCCTCGGAGGCATTGGCGGAGGAAGCCCGTCTTCGACCCGCCAAAGATTAGGAGCTCCTTGAGGCGTATAAGAAGTCCGAGGGGTTCGAACTCGGGCTAACGCGGACGGGGCGGGTATCCTTTGAGTACGGATACCGAGTCGCCATGTCCCATTTCCATGCTCGTCACCCCGGCCTCGAGGTGGAGGAGGACCCCTTCGCTCCTCACCCCGAGGATCTAGGGGTAGACATGCCCGAGGACGTCCCCTTTGACGACCGCCTGGTTGTCCCATAGTAATAATAAGGAAGGGTCCTATATTTTAAGGTGCTAGTTAATTTTGTAAGTCGGGATCGAGTCTTGTAAGTCGGGGTCGAGTCCTGTACTCTTAGTTTTGAAATATAAAGCAAATTTTTCTTCTCGTGTGTTGCTTGTCTACTTCTTCTTCCTTTAGGCGAAAAAGACTTCCTCTTCCCTTGGGCGAAAAAGCTCCTTCCTTAGATGAAGAACTTCCTCTTCCCTTAGGCGAAAAGTTTCTTTATTTAAGCGAAGAACTTCCTAAGGTTCTGGACGTTTCATGTTCTCGGCAAGGGAGAACCGTCCATTGTCGCGAGCCGGTATGTACCCGGTCAGACTATTTTGTCGACCCGATAAGGTCCCTCCCATTTGGGGGCCATCTTCCCCCTCGCGCAGGTCGGGTCGCTGACCTCGGTATTACGTAGGACTAGGTCGTCTAACTTAATCGGTCGGGGCCGTACCTTCCGGTTGTAGACCCGAGCGACAGCTCTTTTGTAAGAGAGGGCCTTCAGGTGCGCGTTGGCACGCCGCTCCTCGAGCAAGTCGAGGCCGGCTCGAAGTCCTTCGTTCATGATTTTCTCGTCGTAGTTTCTCATCCGAAGGGTGGCGATGGCTACCTCGGGTGGTAGGACGGCCTCGATTCCGAACGCGAGGCTGTAGGGGGACTCTCCAGTCGCTATCTTGGGGGTGGTGCGTAACGACCATAAGACGCTCGGGAGTTTGTCCGTCCAGGCTAATCGGGCTGCGGACACTCTTCTTTTGAGCCCGTCTAGAATGGATCGATTGGTTACTTCCGCTAGCCCGTTCGTCTGAGGGTGAGCCACCGAGCTGAACCTCAGTTGGATTCCATGGCTTGCGCAGAACTCCCGGAACCTTCTACCGGCGAACTGAGGCCCGTTGTCCGTAATGATGGTTTTGGGCAAGCCAAACCGGGTCACCAAGTTCCTCCACACGAACTTCTCCATTTGCCGCTCCGTGATCGTGGCCAGTGGTTCGGCCTCGACCCACTTTGTGAAATAATCCACTCCCACGACGATGTACTTCCGCTGTCCCGAGGCTAGTGGGAAAGGCCCGAGCAGGTCCAGACCCCACTGCGCAAATGGCCATGCGCAATCGATGGGGGTGAGCGGGATCGCGGGCTGCCAGGGTGTGCGGGCATGTTCTTGGCACGAACTGCACCGCTGCACATAAGCCTTCGTGTCGCGGCACATGGTCGGCCAGTAGTAACCTTGGCGAAGTATTTTGTGTGCTAGGGTTCGCCCGCCGATGTGTTCCCCGTAGACCCTCCCATGGACTTCAGCCAGAACCGTCTGAGCTTCATCGGGCTCCAAGCACCGTAGGAGGGGGTATGTGAAGGGCCGCTTATAGAGTTGTCCACTCACCTCGGAGTACCATGCATGCGTGCGACACAGGCGCCGAGCCACAGCCTCGTCGGGAGGAAGGGTCCCATCCCGCTTGAAGCATAGTAACTCCTGCACCCACGTGATTGGAGCGCCGCCGGAGACCGCGGCTACGATTTCGATGGCACGGGCAGGGAGCTCGTCGATCTCGGGCCGGACTCCGGGTGCTGGCTTCGAAGCCAGTTTAGCTAGCGCGTCTGCTCGCTCGTTTTCTCCCCTCGGAACATTGGATAATGCAAAGTGAGAGAACTTGGTGGTCAGGTTCTTTACCTACGCCAGGTACTTGGCCATGACTGGGTCCCGAGCCTCGTATCCACCGCTGAGTTGTTCGGCTACCAGCTGCGAGTCGGTGAGGACGTGTAAGGCATCCACTTGCATTTCGAGGGCCAACCTGAGTCCGGCTAGGAGTGCCTCATATTCCGTCTCGTTGTTGGTGGCTTGAAACCCGAAGCGGAGGGAGCGCTCGAATGATCGTCCGTCGGGAGACCGCAGCACTAGCCCTGCACCGACGCCCTTTGAGTTGGCCGACCCGTCCACGTGCAAGACCCATGGTTCAGGAGGTTGCTCCAGATCCGTGTCCTCGGTCTGGGTTAATTCTGCGATGAAGTCAACCACGGATTGGGCTTTGATGGTAGTTTTGGGCACGTATCATACGTCATGCTCGCCGAGCTCCACCGCCCATTTGAGAAGACGTCCCGCAACATCAAATTTAGACAAGACATGTCGAAGTGGTTGGTTGGTGATGACCTCCACTGGGTGAGCTTGGATGTAGGGGCGTAGCTTCCGGGCTGATAGCACAAGCGCCAGTGCTAGTTTCTCAATCGGTGGGTATCGTTCCTCCGGCCCGTTTAGGACATGGCTGACATAGTAGACCGGTAGCTGCTCGCCGGAGTTTTCTTTGATCAGAATAGAACTGACTGCGTGCTGGGAGGCAGCCAAGTAGAGGCCGATCTTTTCCCCGGGAGAGACAGAGGCAAGTCGGGGGAGGCTGGCCAAGTGTTGCTTCATTTGCTTGAAGGCTTCCTCGTACTCCGCCGTCCATTGAAAATTCTTCGGGTTCTTCAGCGCCCTGAAGAAGGGGAGGCAGCGATCGCCCGATCGGGCAAGGAAGCGTGACATGGCAACGAGTCTCCCGTTAAGGCGCTGCAGGTCTTTGATCGTCCGAGGCGACTGCATGTTGACAATTGCCTGGACCTTCTCTGGGTTGGCATCGATCCCTCTTTCGTGTATGATGAACCCGAGGAATTTTCCCGAGGTGACGCCGAAAGCGCACTTCGCGGGGTTAAGACGCATGCCGAACCTGCGTAGCGTGGCGAATGTCTCGACCAGGTCGGTAAGATGAGTTCTTGCCTCTTGGCTTTTCACGATCAAGTCATCGACGTAAACTTCCATGTTTCGCCCGATCTGGTGGGCGAACATCTTGTTCACTGTTCTTTGGTACGTAGCCCCGACGTTCTTCAATCCGAAAGGCATGACTTTATAAAAGTATACCCCTTGATCGGTGAGGAAGGCCGTGTGCTCTTGGTCTTCGGGCGCTATTCTGATCTGGTTGTATCCTGAGAAGGCATCCATAAATGAGAGGCGGGCGTGTCCGGCTGTGGCATCTACCAACTGGTCGATCTTTGGGAGGGGGTAGCAACCTTTAGGGCATGCATTGTTGAGGCTGGTGTAGTCAACGCACATCCTCCAGTTTCTATTATGTTTCCTTACGAGGTCTACATTGGATAGCCATCGCGGGTATCTGGCTTCTTCTATGAAGCTGACCGCTAAAAGTTGGTCCACTTCTTCTCGTATGGCGAGTTGCCGATCAGGGGCTTGGCGCCTGGGCTTTTGCTTTACCGGGCGAGCATCGGGTGAGATGCTGAGGCGATGTTGCGCGACCTCTGGGTCGACGCCCGTCATGTCAGATGGCGACTAGGCGAAGACGTCGGCATTTTCCTGTAGGAGACCGACGAGCTACTTTCGTTCCTGCTCGGGTAACTCCAACCCGATTTTGACCGTCTGATCCGGACGCTCTTCTAGCAATGGCAAGTCGACGGTGGATTCCCTTGGCTCGGGATGGGGGGTCGGTCTCTTCATCTCCCGAGGATCCTCCAGCGGTGGTTCGATCCTCGCCCTCTTGTTTAACGAGACGACGGTCAAGTAGCAACGCCTGGATTCTCGGGGGCTTCCCGTGACTTCCCCGACCCCGGCATGAGTCGGGAATTTGATAGTTGTTATGATCAAGAGCACTAAGAGGGGGGGTGAATTAGTGCAGCGGAAAACCTTCTGCGATTAAAATCGAAAACTACGTTCGTTCGATAGAAGTGATTTTGGTAAGAAAGCTGATTCGTAAATCACTTCAACTTTTGACTAGGAGAGATGCAGCAAAGATATGAACGCAGTTTGCAGTTATGATGGAAATCAGAATATAAGCGCAAACTGAAATACGACGTTCGTACGATAAAAGCGATTTCGGTATAAAAGCTGATTCGTAAACTACTTTAACTTGAGATACGACGAGATGCAGTTAAAGCAAAGATATAAAGGCAGTTTGCAGTTATAATGGAAATCAGAACGTAAGCGCAAACTGAAATACGACGTTCGTTCGATAAAACTCACTTCAACTTTTGACTAGGAGAGATGCAGCAAAGATATGAACACAGTTTGCAGTTATGATGGAAATCAGAATATAAGCGCAAACTGAAATACGACGTTCGTACGATAAAAGCGATTTCGGTATAAAAGCTGATTCGTAAACTACTTTAACTTGAAATACGACGAGATGCAGTTAAAGCAAAGATATAAAGGCAGTTTGCAGATATAATGGAAATCAGAACGTAAGCGCAAACTGAAATACGACGTTCGTTCGATAAAACTGATTTGCGTCTTAAACCCCGATTCGGAAAGCACTGAACTTTGAAACACGTTCGTAAAAACACAGAAGGCAGTAAGCTATTGAGGAGGTTTGCAGTAAAGATAAGATGCTCAAAGTAAATGCAAACTGAGATTTAGAGTGGTTCGGTCAATCTTGACCTACTCCACTTTTGGCTTCCTCCACCGATGAGGTCACCAACGTCAACTAGAGGCCTTCCTTCAATAGGCGAAGGCCAACCACCCTTTTACAGTTTCACTCCTTTTGACGGGCTTAGGAGACAACCCTTACAGAATTTTCTCTCCTCTCTTTACAACTCAAAACTTAGAAAAAAAGAGAGAGAAGAACTTTTGGCCTTTACAACAATTTTGAGCTCTAAGAATCACAGAAAAAAATCAAGATTTCGGTGTAAGTTCATGCTCTTTCAGTGCTGAATGGGTAGGGTATTTATAGGCCCCAACCCAGTTCAAATTTGGAGCTCAAAACTGTCAATTCCTGGAATTCCGGGATCAGGCGGTTGCACCTCTTGACTGGAGCGGTTGCATCGCCTGGCAGAGCTCAAAGACTGAGCCTCTGGGCGGTGCTACCTCCTGTCAGGGGTGGTTGCACCTCCTGCCAGAGCTCGAAGACCGAGCTCAGGCGGTTTCACCTCCTAACTGAGGCGATTGCATCGCTTGGCAGAGCTCGAAGACCGAGCTCAAGCGGTGCCACCTCCTGTCAGGGGAGGTTGCACCGCCCCGTCTCGCTCGGAGACTGAGCCCAGGCGATGCAACCTCCTGCCTTGGGCGGTTCAACCGCTTGACAGAAATCAAGGTCCGAATGGGTTGATCCATTCGGCCCAATTCGGGTTTTTTAGGGGCCCAATTGCCCCAAGATTAAGTTAATGGGATCACCTCCCATTTCCAACTTAATCATTGTGCTAACTACGATATTCCCTAAGACATTTACTGCAACTTGCTCCGGTGCGTCAATCGCTTCTTCCGGCGAGCTTCCAGCGAACTTCCGTCGATCATCCGATGAACCCTCGGTGATGCTCCTGCGGACTTCCTGTAACACCCCTCATTTCCGAATGTTCGTATAAATTTTTGGTGATAATGTAAGCATCTATTTTAATTGATAAAAGAAATAGAGTATGAATCAGAGGTAACTTATTTTTAAGATTTGGGAGATCTGTTAAAAAAAAAAAAAAAGAATCTGAGGACCTATATGTAAACCCTAAGGACCTAATCGTGAATATGATAAAAATAAGGACTAAACTGCAAAATGCACCAAATGACAAATTCCACCGCTTAAGCCTCTCTGCCTTCGTTGTTAAGGAAGCAGAGGAGGCAGCTCGTGGGTGATCAGGGAAAGAAAAGAAGAAGAAGAAGAAGAAGAAGAAGAAGAAGAAGGAGAAGA